CAAGTTCCTCTACGACACCTTTGATCTCACGTTGGCTTTGTGTCTCTCATGTGCTGCTTTGCCAAGTCCGCTGAAGCTTACCACCTGCAACGCGACAAACAGCCCAGCACATCGTCCTACCGCGAGATACATCACATCCTGTTTTCAGACGGCCAGAAGTACGTATCCACGGACGCACGCTCTGCTAACATCGGCCTGGTGGACGCTGACGAGTATCCATCTGAAGGCTTCACTGTTGTTCACTCGACGCTGGCTGTGCAGGAAGGCAAGGAGCTCACCGAGCACCTTCGTATCTTGATGGACGCGGTGGACAGCTCTGTGTTCAACAAGGCTTTTGTCATGGGCAGATACTGGAGCAGCGACGCCGAGAAGTGGATCATCATACCGACAGGAGCGGACACGTCGCCACCATTAATGCTGAAGTACGCTCAGGACATCTCGGCGAAGTTCTTGCACCTACCTCGTCTGGATGGCATTCGCTATGGCACTGGCTGTATCAAGGTACCTGCCATGCCCATGTGCAAGTACGGCGTCCTGTTCTCCTGGGAGCGACGCAACAGTCTACGACGCACGATTACGGAAGTCAACCCGGAGACAGGCCTCAATCTTAAACGACGCCATGGCGGGCTATGGGGCGAGACCTCGTTCGTGCTTTTCTTCTGCTACGAGATGCCTGCAGACGACCGGCCTAAGACCTACGAGGTTCCGGACTTCAGCGACCTGTCCAGCATCCTGCCGCCTGACACGGACATCTTTGACGACTTGAGTGTCACGCTGCCCTACGACCTCGACGACCAGGACCTCGGGCCTCAGGACCCGGAGCCACCTCCGCCTCCGCCTGACGACGACAGACAGCAACAGCGGAGAGATCGATCGCTCTCACGGTCCAGGGTCGGTCGGTCCAGAAATGACTCTATTCCAGCAGATGCCAGCCGATCCAGAGACGACCCGATTGCGGCAGAAGTTGATCAGCGGCCTCCTCCTCCTGACGACCCACCTGATCGTCAAGATCGACGAGCTAATCGATCGAGGAGCCGCCGCAGCATCTCTGGCCGCAACGACACACCATCGAGCATCACTCATGACCAGATACCAGGTCGCCCTGATATTTCTGACAGAGATGACACACCCTCCAGCATGGAACGCGACCAAACGTCTGCCGCTGACGAAAGTGTACGATCTGTTCCCGCTCATGATGATAGTCATGGTTCTCGTCGCAGCCAGAACTCAAGGAGCATCCGAGGAACAAGGCGACAGAACAGGGACAGGAGCATGGAAGAAGATCGACCCTCAGTCGCAGATCAGAGTATCAGGTCAAGCTCATCTAAGGATCGCTCGGCATCACGACACGACGTTGAGCATTATCGACTGGACGATTCTCAAGAAACTGTTCAGTATCCAGAAGCGGAACAAGAACAGCCAACTATTGAATACCCAGCTCCGCAGGCTCCAGAGGTTGACACACTACCCCGTCTACCGATTCTCGAAGACGCTGGAGCTTTAGACCGTTCACGCTCGCGTCAATGGGATCCGACGAAGTACCCGACCACGCCGATTACACCACCGGTCGGGGATACCTCTGGGGTCAAGCACGACACCTCTCGTGAGTTTCCACCAACCAAGAAGGCCAGCACAAGATCTACATCATCGAGCTCAGGATCTCGGGGCCCACAAGCATCAGCATCATCCTCGTCAGGGAGCGCTCCACCTCAACCTCCTACGGATCTGCCGCAGCCATTGCTGCCGATAAAAGAAGACGCTCCCGCTGAAGAACCACCAGCAGCCGAAGAAGAAGCCCCGACGCTCGAGTACAGTCAGCCTTCTTGGGACGACACACTACCATCATACCGAGACGATATGGCTCCGCCTTTCTACTTCGACAAGGTAAACGATCACACGCTCTGCGGATCATATTTCCAGACACCAGAAGACAGGCGCGACTTGATGGGCGACATGTTCAGTGAGTACGACGCCGAGATGAAGGAGGCAGGTGCTACCTTTATTGCCACGGCCTTTCCCTCAGCAGAAGACTACTTAGCATCCAGCGGCACCTGGACTGCGACAACGGCAGATGTCACTCTGCCTGGGCCTTGGCAGCGCAGCACCTGTTTCTGGATGGACGTTCGCGTCGGCTCTTGCTTCAGGGTTGACTCTGAGACGGACAACCTCACCCCGGAGGAAATGGTTCGCTTCGAGGCAGATATCCTGAAGGCCGACCGCGCGGAGTTAGCCAACTTCGTGAATCACGACGTATTCAAGACGCGGAAGCTCAGCTACTCGGACACGCTGCCCATCAAGTGCGTCTGGGTGCGCAGGTGGAAATGGAAGCAGGCAGCCGATGGAAGTTGGACACGAGTCATCAAGAGCAGGCTCTGCTGCCGCGGCTTCCTGGACCCGCAGAAGCATCTATTGGCCAAGCACAGCACTACTGCCACAAGACTCTCTCAGAAGCTCCTCGTCAGTGACGCGGCCAACAACGACTGGGACATCGAAGAGTGGGACGTTGGCAGTGCTTTTCTTCAAGGGTTCAGCTTCGAACATCTTCAGGAAGCGTGCCGGGCACTTAAGGTTCCGATGCCCGACATCAAGCGGAAGGTTGTCATCGTGGTTCCTGACAACGTATGGTTTCATCTCAGAGACTTGAAGTTTCCTGGAGCACCATCCAGCAACTTTTCCGAGTACGGCCTGGAACTTCTGAAGGCGATGTATGGCTTGAATGATGCACCGCTTCTCTGGCAACTGTGCCTGATATATTTCCTGACGAAGTCCACCTCGGCCAGAGTTTCTCTCTATGACGAAAACTCCTACACCTGGCACGATTCTGAGAACACCCTGGTTTGAGAGGCGACCTTGCATGTTGACGACGCCAGCGTTGCCGGAACGAACGAGTTCAAGAAGGTGCTCTTCATCAAGATGGAGAACGGTTCGGCAAGCTGACAGTAGTAAAGCCTCCCATGCAGCACGTTGGCATCACCTACGAGAAGATAAAAGGAGGCTATAAGCTTCATCAGACCGAGTTCGCGCTGGCCATCAAGCTCGTGGAGATACCCAAGGGCGCTTCGGATGACACCAAGCTGACCGCAGCACAGACCACTCTACTTCGTGGCGCCGTGGGTGCTCTTCTGTTCCTGTGCTACACGCGCGTGGACATCCTCGCCGACGTTGTGGTTCTGCAGCAGCACGTGTGTAGCGCCAAGATTATTCACTTGAAGATGGCGAACACTATCACGAGACGGGCTTGGCAGCACTCACATCTTGGCCTGATATTCGTGAAGTTGGAGCCTCCCGACCGCATGATCGCAGTAGCAGATGCCAGCCACGCGAGCAGCAAGACATCCTACGCAGTCGAGGGTCAGATGGCGATCAAGATGACGGACCGAGTGTATGGTCTCACTACCTCCGGCAAGATCAAGCCTGACTGGAGCAACGGGTATGGACACTGCTTTGTACATTCGGCCAAGCGTGCGAAGAGGATCTCACATAGCACATCACACGCTGAGTCTCTTAGTCAATATGGATGTCTGACCCACTGCGAGCTGATTGCCATGAGAGCGACAGAATTGACCTGGCCAAGTCGACCTTCGCTCGAGGACCTCATCGAGGCAGATGCTGACGCGTGCTACGACATCCCGATCGACACCATGACCGACTGCAGAGATCTGTATGAGCTGTGCACTGGCATGAAGGGAGTTCCTCAGGACCGATCACAGAGATTGATTATCTTATCGCTCCGGGAGAAGCGGCTGATCCACAAGGTTAGGCACGCCTTCTGGTGCGACACCAAGGACATGCTTGCAAACAGCCTCACCAAGCATTGCGCCACGGACGAGATCTTCCACAACTTCTTGGCTACGGCTATATCGAGTTCAAGCATCTGATGCTGGTGACCACCAAGGCCAAGAAGAAGGATGAGTACACGGAAGGAGATCTGGAACGTTTGGCAGACGCTGACTGAGCACCACGTCTTCTACGAGACTGGAGTCTGCCGACTACGTGACTGGAGTCTTCAGGCAAGGATCTTTTGAGCCTGCGAGTGCCCTTGCTCCCTGTTGAAGCTTAACTGCGTAGGGGGCAGGGCGCACTGGAGGCCCTCCAAGCCTGAGGAACGGATGTGGATCTAATTCAACGGTGGCCTGCCTCTTCGAGATCGGCTACCACTACTTGCACTTCGGCTACCTTGTCGACTACAACTCGTACTGATAATTTTGCGGCTCCCGCCGGCCCTGCTCGACCCTCGCGAGACGTGAGGTACCAGTGTTAGTTTCAGAATGATTGCCGGGGATCCGGCGTAGTTCAGGGAGTAGAAGGGAGAAAGCAGAGATAGCAGGGACCGCGGGCGCTGGGGCTCAAGCTTGAAAAGTCGAGTGGAGGAGGGGGAGGAGGAGGAGGAGGAGGAGGAGGAGGTCCGTAGTCATTTTGGCTCAAGCGCTTTTGGCTCAAATATTTCATTTCTCGAGGTGGCTTACAGAGAGCTATTTGTTTTTCACACGATCCCTGCTTGAGCTCCTCGCCTGGCAGGTTCCGACTCAGCAGTCGGCGACTGGTGGAATGCGCCTCGCCTCTTTCACTATGCGCCATGGACTCAGCAGTCGGCGCCTGGTGGAATTCAGAATGCCACGGGGGGAGGCTGGCGCCAGGGTGGCGCGCCGCGCGGCGCCCAGTCCAAGGTGCAGTGCTCAAGCTGGGGTTGTAAGAAGAACTCGGTCGGCGCGTCCCATTGCTACCACTGTGCTGCTCCTCTGCCTGCTCTCGGTGGTTACCATGGCTCGCGACCCACTTCTGGTGCTTGGTCCCAGTGTCCTCCTGGCGTCTTCCACGCTTCCCAGCTCGTTCCTGGCGGCTACTTGCAGCAGGGCGGGGGCAAGGGGTGGCTTGGCGGCAAGGGGCGCGATGCGGCGGCGGCCAGGGTATGCCTGGCGGCGGCGGCGGCTGGTCGGGTGACTCTGCCCTCTGTGGAGGGGGGCCTGCCTCTGGGGGAGGCTTGCCGCCTCTGCCCTCAGGCCCAGTGCCCACCATCACGGTCGAGGAAGCGGAGCAGCCATCGTCTTTGTCGACTAAGGCGGGCGATTCCGTCACGGCTCAGAGGTATGCGGACTACGTTAAGCATCTCAAGGCTGCGCAGCGAGGACCAGCTGATCAGCCGATACATCATCAAGTCAATGCCGCCCAGGGCTCGGTCAAGAAGCTGGAGAAGAAGATGGAAGCTGATCTCGCCCGTGTGCTTCGACTTCGGCGTGAGTTGGCCGAGCAGGGAGATGCGCTACCTGAAACTCGTGAAGCGATGGTGCAGGCGGGCGCTGAATACAAGGCGCTGGTGGTCAAGCCCATCCTGGAGGCCTCCGTCGTCCCGCCTGCCTCAGCTCAGCCTGTCCCTGGTTTCAAGCCTATCCGCTCGCCGAGCTCGTCGAGGGGCAGGTTGGCATCTCGTCTCTCATCTCGTGCGATCTCTCGGAGTTCAGCAGCTCGTCCGAGGAATGGGGGCTTTCTTCGGAGGATCTTCGGGATATCGAGAAACTCAAGGAGGATCTCACTGATGGAGTGCAACCGTTGGCGCGCAATCTGTTCACGTTAGTTGTCGATCACGCTCGGGCGCAGAAGCAGGCCCACGCGGAGCACCTCGCTCGTATGTGCGAGAAGAAGCGTCGCACGGAAGGTGGTGCTGCAGCTTGGGGGGGGGGTGGGGGGGGGGGGGGGGGCGTCGGCTGCTCCTGGAGGTGCTGAAGGTGAGGCGGCTGCCACAGGAGTTTCGGGGGCCAGAACTTCGGGTCCTGAGCCCTCGGCTGCCGCCCCAGGCGAGAGGCCTGCCCAGGGCGTGCGAGACAGGGTTGACGCCGCCCTGTCCTTTGCCCCCCTCCCCCCCCCCCCCCCCCGCGGGGGGGGGGGGCTCTCCAAGTGACGACGCATCAAGATTCTCGCGCGGCGTTGCCAGGCAGGTTTCTGAATATGTAACCTCGTGCTTTAATGTGTTGCGGACAGGGAGTCGATGCTCGACTCCCAGTCCAAGCTGTCTGGCATTCGTTTGCACAACCGTCTGGGGGCTGAGGTTCCTGGCCTTCCCTGCTCCTCTGTCTCCGCAACGTGGCCTCACAGGTGTCGCCCAACGGACTCCTCTCCTCTCTCCTCTCCCTGCTGCTGCTGCTGCCGTGGAGGCATCGGGGAGTTGAACTTTTTACTGAGGGGGTCTCGATCGCGACGGCCACTTGTAATATTTGGGGCTCGTTGAAGGGTACCTGGAGGCTTCAGATTCGATGATCATCTTGGGCCCGGAGCATCGCTTGATGGATCCAGCTGGTATCGACAAGGCGTCGTCCTCGATTCGCAAGCTTGGTTGGAAGAGTGTTTGATGTCCTGGATGCCTGGGTCCTGGTGGATGGGTGAGCTCTGGCGCTGTGGTTTTCGTCCGCGACGCGTTCGGCGTCTTCGAAGGCTCCCAGGCGGCGTTTTTCCCTGGCCGTGCTGTCGCTGGCATAGTGCGCGCTCCTCGCTGAGGCGTTCTGCGTCGTCTCGCTTTATCTGATCCACTCTGAAGGCTTATCGGAGCGCATCTCAGAAATACTTATAAAGAGGTCGGGGGCTTTCTGGTCATCCATTTCGTGTGAGTTCGTGGTGGGTGGGGATTGGAACCTCGCTCCCGAGGTCTTGCAGGAGTCGGGGTTCGACGAGGAGCTCTCGTGCCAGATAGTCTCCCCAGGTGTGGGCATGTGTTTTCCAAGTTCTGGCTCGCCCTCTGTGTCTTCTGGGTTGGCCCAGGGGATCAAGCATGTGGAAGTGGACTCGAAGGCTTCGACCTCGCCTCATTTCCTTGTGTCTTTAGGCTTTCATCCGTCTCTGATGGATCTCAAGTCTCTCGCCTTCCGCCGCCCCCCTCCTTCCTGTGGAGCCTCCTGCGGGCCCTCGGCCCCGCCCCCAGGAGTGGGGCGCTGCTTTCGGAGGTGGCCCAGAAGGGCTACGATGCTGTTCCGAGGGGTGATTTTGATGGGGCTGTTGCTGTCTTGGATTCGGGGTGCAGACTTTGGGCCAGCGCGGCCGAAGCCGAACTCGGGAATGTTATGGGTGTCGAGGTGCAGGCTGCAGGTGCTCGTGGAAAGCGCCCGCAGATGCACTGGCGGTCGGTCCTGAAGCTCTCGGGCCGCTTCATGGGCGCCAAGCAGCGCCCCATCTTCTGGCTGCGCTCGCAGCTGCACGCGCTGCAGTGTTATCTGATGGACTGGGGGGTCTTGCGATTGGTAAGTTGGACCCTGGGCGCGCTATCCAACATGTGCTTCGCCGTCTCGAGTCCCCTGGCCCCTCGGTCGTGCCCCCTCATGGTGATGATTATCTTCTAGTCTTTCGTGTTGCCGCCAGCTTAGCTTCGCGCGGGTTGGCTTTCGGTCAGGGCGGCCGCGATTGGTTCTTTGCCGAAGTTGTGGGGCTGATCGACGGAGTTCGGGGGCTTGCTTCTAAGGCGCGCGCTGCTGCCTCGAGCTCTGCTCGAGCCTCTTGGAACGACTGGCCGAAAGCTGGTCTGGGCAGCGGGGGCCGTGGGGTCCACTCCGCGTTGAGAGATCCCGAGCGTTGGACTCCCACCGCCACTCTGTCCTCGGGGGGGTCTGTCATCTCTGATCCGAAGTCCTCATTAAAAGCTGAGGGGTGCACTTTCCATTTGATTTGCGTGGGGCGGGGGCGGTCTGGGAATTAACGGTAAAGAGTTGGTTCAGCCCTCCTCCCTCCTTTCCTCCTGTGGAGCCTCGGGGTCTCTCGACGAAATATATGGTTTCTAGCGCCGTCTCGCTGGGCGGCTTTCACTGTCGCCGCTTCCCGGTATTGGATGGCGGAGGCCTTCGTGTCATGCGCCTCCTCCTTTTTGTCGTGGAGGCGACGGGTCGCCTCCCATCTCAGCTTGCTTGGGTCTTGATGGCGCTGCTGCCCAGGGCGGCGAGCGGCTTCCGCCCAATTGGCGTCTTCCCTGCGCGGTGCAGAGAGAGAGAGAGAGAGAGTGTGTGTGTGGGGGGGATCGCGCCGCGTTGAGGCGGCCAGGTGGGGGGCCGCTCATCCCCGTGGACATCGGGCTGCTGACGCCAGCGGGGGGCCCGCGGATGTGGCTTGGAGGCAGAACTTTCGAGCTGAGGCTGGCGCCGGAAGGGGGGAGTTTGCGGCGTCTCTGTTTTGGGATTTCAGGACATACTACGAGCACATTGGGCTCGGGTTTCTTGGGGGCCAGTGCAAGCGCCGCGGCTTTCCGCTTTCCCTGTCCAGGCTTTGCATCCGTGCCTGCGCATCGGCTCGATGTTTAGCGATGGGGGGTCTGGTCGTTGGTCCGTACTTCGTGGACAGGGGGCTCGTGGCGGGGTGCAGCTTCGCTACGAGTCTCATCCGTGTGTTTGCGTTGTCGGCCTTCGATGAGATTCCGCTGTCGCCGGTCCTCGAGTTTGATGTGTGCATTGACGACGCGTCTGTGAGTAAGACGGGCCCTTTTCGCTCAGTAGTTGCAGGTCTGGTGCTGGGTGCGCGGGCCTTGCGCGCGAGGCCATCGTTGTTGCCCTGGGCTGCGAGCTGGCCGTGGATAAGATAGGTCTCCTTACCAGTCGCAAGTATCTCGGCGACGTGTTGGAGGCCAAGCTCGGGCCCTTAGCTGGCGCTGTCAAGGCCAGCGTGGTCAACTTAGGTATCGATCTTGCTGCTGGGCAAGGCGACCTTCCGTGGCGTGCGGCTGTCGCCCCCATTTTGAGATGGGCGCGAGAAGTGTGGCTGCGTCAGACTCACGCTTTCGAATGGTGCTTAGCTTTCGCTGAGCTTAGGGAGGGGTGGGCCACGGCTTTCGAGTTGGATGACTTCTCCTGGAGCAAGGTTTCAGGGCCCATCAGTGCCCTCCGTATGTCTCTTCATCGTTTGGGCTGGACGATGCCCGACAATTGCACCCTCAGGGATGATTTCGGCAGGGACGCTTCGCTCACGTTAAATTCCCCCCAGATGGTTCGGTCGCTGTGCCGGGATGCGGCGTGCCGAAACCTGGAGCGGGACTCAAGCGTGAATTATGGTTGTGTCCATCATCGTCTTTGCTGGGATGTTGTGACGCATTGTCTCGGGTCTTCGAAATCCTCTAAGCAAGACAAAGGGCTCATGAGGGCCCTCGAGTGCAACGGCACTTGGAATGCCACGGACGCCGTGGCGGCGGGCTACCTCTCCATCTCGCCGCTCTGTCCGCACTGTGGTCTTCCTGACGCGCTGCACCATTGTCTCTGGGTCTGCGAGCGATGTCAGGAGAAAATATATGTAGTTGTCCCAGCTTGGATTCAAGAGGCTGTGAGAGACACGCCGTCTCGCGAGTACGGTCCTGTTCTGCTTCTGCATGGTGCGTCCCCTCACCCCGGAGACCTGGTTCCTGGGCCGTGCAGAGATGGTGGCGTGGAGATGAAGTGGCATGTGGATGTGCTCCCTGCGCCCTCCCCCGACTCTCCTCCTGTTCCTTGTGGTGACTGTGTCCGGGGTCATGTTTTTTTATCGACGGTTCGTGTCGCAGGCGCGTCGTCCGTGCATTGTCCGAAGGATTGCACAAAAACCCTCCGAAGGATTGCAAAACAATAAACCCTTCTGAGGCCTTCGGAGGATTGCAAAAAACCCTTCGAAGGATTGCAACAAAAACCCTTCGAAGGATTGCAATCCTTCGTCTGAGGCCTCGTGATGGTCTCGGATCTCGGGCCCCTTGTGGGCGCCGTACCCTCAGACGCCTCGAGGGGCTGAATTCGGTGCGTATGTGTGGGGTGCTTGTTTCGTGTCGGCTCCGATGGTCCTGTACTCCAGAGACCCCCCCCGAAATGAGACCCCCCTCCCTTTATTACGAAATCTGGAGTACTCTTGGTGCCTGCTGGGGCTCTGCTGGGGCCTCGGGGGCCGCCCTGCGTGCCTATCCAGAGCGCCAGGACCCAATGTTCGGGGACTGCGCTGGGAACCACTGCTGCGCGACAGCCCATCATAACCATAGCCCACAGTCAACCTCCTCACACCCACATGGCCTCGCTTACTCCAGATTCCGTAATACAGGGAGGGGGGGTCTCATTTCGGGGGGGGGGGTCTCTTCCAGGCCATCTTGGAGGGCTTGGGGGGGTCTGGGGACGGTGTTTTGGAGGGTTCTCCCACAGGGGGGGTCTGAAATGGCTTGTGTTGGAGGGTCCAGACCCCCTCCCTTTTATTACGACATCTGGAGTATAGTGATTGCAAGCATGTGGTCGACCAGGGCTCGTTGCCTTTGTGTGATGCGCTCGCTGGCAAGAAGCAAGATGCTGGAAATAGTATCCAGGCTCATACTATGTTCGGCCCCAACCTTCCGTCCTGCAGGAAGGTTAAGGCCCACTTGGG